ATATATATATACACACACATTCACTCATATGTTTTGGAAATGTGGGCTATGTCTGTGTATATGTATATATGTATATGTATATGTATACGTACATCTATATATACATATATATGCAAAAACGATCATACGGGTATGTGTGTGTGTGTGTGCATGTCTGCGCGTGCGTTGTACCCTAAGACGGGCATAAGATCGAATACCGCTGCCATTGTTGCTGTTGTAGCAGCCCCACGGACGATGAAACGTTCATGATGAAATATTCGGATTATGAGCCTCAAGCACCTTTCGGGCCTCCAACAGCCAGGAATAAAGCAGAGCAGCTGTAGGGTGGAAATCAAGGGCGCCAGTCCTAAACCCTAAAGCACAGAGATTTGGCTGTGAAGGCCCACAGCGGCGGGAAACATGAAACTTGACACCACTGAGTTGTTAGATGGGGGTTGGGCCATTCCGCACAGAAAATCCATCCAGGTATGCACGCACACACGCATTCATACATACATGCATGCATGCCCCACCCCACGCCACCCCACCCCTCCCCGCCCCACCCAACCCCACCACCCCACCCCACGCCACGCTTAATTAATTACGTACAAACCATTTTCCAATAGCCCGAGTGCCCCGAAAAAAATTCCTACCCCTTCCCGTTCCAGGCGGCCGGCGGCCTCTGTGCCAGAGCCCAAAGCTCCCGCTAATCCAGCGGCCTCTGCACCCCCAGCCGGCGCCGGCACCGTGTCCGAAAAGGTTTCTCTCTGGTTTCCTTTCAATTTTCCTTTCTGCGGGTCCCTTTAAAGGTTTCTACAAGGGTTACGATAAGGGCTTCTTTCCGAGTTCAGGGTAACTATAGGGCTTTCGTTTAGGTTCGGGGCAGCATCGGCAGTTTGCACGTTATCCTCTAAAGTTCCCGCCAAGTGCAGCGAAAACCTGCTCCCAAATCGGGCCCTAAAGGCCTTGAGCCCGAGGGCCACATCTTAATGTAAGGGCCTAATGATTACCACTACTACTTTGGGAATTCCCTTTTAGATAGTTATAGTATATTAGGCCCCAACGCCCTCTTCTAATTATTTGGGCTTCTGCATTCGTCTTGTGTTGCAGAGTGCACTTTGGGTTGAGGCTCACCGGAAGCCTGGCGCTTGGACAAGGACAAGTACCAGGATCTTCACAGGCTGCAAATTCAACGTGGCATGCCATGGGTACTTCAGATATCCCTAATCCCTAAACCCTAAACCCTAAACCCTAAACCCTAAGCCCTAGGGCCCTAGAGCAGGAACAGTTCCTGTCGGCACTCGCTCAGCACCGTTCTTCAGGCTGCCCGGCGGGCGACAACCGCCGCGAGATTTCAGGCGGCACGTTCTTGTCCTTCTGTCTGAACAGCAGAACCCAGAGGGCCCAATACCTCTTAAATAAGGAATATACCTTAAATTACAGGGGCCTTAATATTATGATTGAATATACCTTAAATTACAGGGGCCTTCATATTATGATTGAATATACCTTAAATTACAGGGGCCTTACTATTATGATTTAAGGTATATTCCTTATTTAAGGGGTATTGGGCTCTCTGGGAACCAGTGGAAAGGCTTAGAAGCTTTGAGAGTGATAGCCCATGGCGTCAAGCTGCCTGCCCGGCATTTAGGGTTTAGGGTTTAGGGTTTAGGGGTTTAGGGTTTAGGGTTTAAGCGCAGAACCCACAGGCAGTAAAGGATGCAAGCTGCGGTGTAGAGGGCTGGCAATCCGGCCACCAGTCAGACACACAGACACGATCTCACTGTCTGGTGCTTAGTAGGGAATGGGGGAATGGATCCCTATGATAGTGGTCCCTATAACCCATTCCCCCATGCCCTAAACCCTAAACC